TCTGTGGTTAGCTTTAAATATAATGTCTAAAACCTGTATTTCAATTAATTTGTGTATTTTTATCTGTAATTAAAGGCTTTAATGGGAACACAACTGAAGAACTGTGCGCCCGATGGTCAGCGTTGGGTGCCTTCTATCCGTTCAGCCGTAACCACAACTCCGACGACTGTATAGATCAGGATCCGGTGTCGTTGGGGCCGACAGTGACCGCTGCGGCCAAACGGGCGCTGGAAATGCGTTACTCACTATTGCCTTACTTTTATACGCTATTCTTCAAAGCGCACACCACCGGAGACACTGTCGTTCGGCCCCTGTTTTTTGAATTCCCAACCGATCCCAACAGCTATGAGATTGAGACACAGTTTCTGTGGGGACCGGCCGTTATGGTTGTGCCAACACTTTACCAGAATATGACTTTTGTATGAATGAAATTGAATTTTGTTTAGTATTTTGAATGTTAATCACTTTGAATGCAATGTATAGGTGAACGCATACCTTCCGCCTGGCGTTTGGTATGACCTCCGAAACCACAGCTCATATGAGGCCAGAAGTGGCCAGTATTTTACGCTCGACAGTCCGCTCACCGATATTAACGTATTGCTGCGTTCGGGTCATATTGTGGTCACTCAGACACCCGAAGTGACCACCGCTGACACCAGGAAAGGAGACTTTATTATGATTGTCGGTCTCGACGCCGAGTCCAAAGCCAACGGTTCCCTATACTGGGACTCCGGCGACGGTTTGGATAATATATTGCTCAGAGAATTCAATTTGTTTGAATTCAGTGTCCAAAAGGTATTTGATTTGTAACATTAATTTAATTAGTTTTTGTGTTAATTTTGTTTTATTTTGCTGCTAAAGAATGAACTGATTTCGACGCCTAAAGTGTTTGGATATGACATGAATGGCCAGAAACTGAGCAAATGTGTGATTCTCGGTGTGAAACATAAGCCAAACAGTGTTTTCATAAATAGTGTTCCGACGAGTCGTTTCTCGTATGACAAAAATCTCAATCGTTTGACAATCGATAGCATTAACGCTGTTTTGTCCAAAAATGTTACTATCGTTTGGAAATAGTTTTTCACTACCATAATCAATACCATTGGATTATATTTTATTTAAAATGCATTTTAATTAATTGATAACTTAATGATAATCATGTAATATTGTGTTGTTTGCAAAACACAGTTATATTAAATAAATATAACATTAATTGAATAGTCATATAAAAACATTGCATAAACTGTTTATTAAACGAATTAAACATAATTATAACAAAATGTGTTTTACAACTGATTAATATAATTTTAATTATATCTTTAATTATTATGGGATTTATTTCTTGTAAAAACAAGTCTCGTATAAAGAATTCATTTAATATTCATAAGAATCCAATTCATGAAATTCTGGACTCGTGTATAGATTCCTATATTTAGTTCATTCAAATCATTATAACATTTAATTATTGATTCAATCCATAAAACTAATCGATAATAATTACCTGGATATCCGGGTTCAGCACATTTGTACCCAAACGACACAATACCCAACTCATACCACTTGCCATCGATGGCCAGCGCCAGTGGTCCGCCACTATCGCCCTGACACGAGTCCTTTCCGCCGCCGAGAACTCCGGCGCACATCAACTGACCGTTAATACCGTTAGGGAAACCAATTTGATGTCCACTTAATTGAGTGTAGTTTCGATGACAGGACTTCCTGTCGAGGATATTGACGTCCACTTCGCGCAACTCATCGCTCACAACACCGCCGAACCGAGTGGCGCCCCAACCGACCAGTTTGGACGCATTGCCCACAAACTCACCCCTATTGGCGAACAGTTGACCCCTTGGCAGACATATCGGGCCCACTGTCGGCATGAACTCAATCTTGTGTCTCATTTTGATGAGCGCTATGTCGTGATAGTGTTGAACCGCGTTATAGTCTTTGTGGGGTATAATCGCTGCCACCTCTCGGAACGGTATCTTCGGGTCCGACAGCCGATGGCCGCCAAATTTGATGAGAAACCGGTTGGCCCTGACATTACCCACTCCGGCGCCACCGCCCGGTCCGTAGCGCACGAAACAGTGAGCGGCCGACAGAACGTACCGCTCGTTGATTATAGCGCCGCCGCACAGGAATCGGGGCACAGATGTGGGCGACGGCCGCTCGTAGACCGACACAATCCACGGCCACGTGTTTGGCTGAGCGCTGATTCCTGTGTAATATAGACCCCGAGTTAGCCATCGATTGCAATATTTAAGACAAATGCCTCCGATTTTTGGTACAATATTTTGTGATAATTGTATGAATTAAATGATTTAATACATTGTTTTTTTTGGTAACAACAAAAGTAATTGATTAATAATATGAATATTTCAAACCCCAAACCGCTTACCGCCGACAATGGCTGCGATGTCCGGACGTTTACCGCATTCTCATTGAGTTTGATTTGATATGAAAAATAAATTAAACATTATTTTCAATGTTTTATTTAATATAATGTATAAATAAATACCAAATTTAGTGCCAGAATTGTTGGCAGTAGTAGTTGTTTGCGGAGTTGTCGGAGGGGTAATAACCGGCGCTTTCGTGGGTTCGGGTGTTTCGCGTTTGAATGGACAGCAAATGGACTCAAATTTGACGCCCTTTTGGTTGAGTTTGCATTTAACTACATTCGGGCCGTCAATGTCTGTAATGTGCAGAGTTTTGCACGGATTGAGTGCCCAAACCTGACACAGACCCGGCCTGTTCTGCGCCGTATAGCACTCGACTTTGCACACGTGTTCCCGACCGGTGGTCACCAACCGATTGCCGATACGCTTCTGATCGCAAACCACGTACTCGTCTTCGGCTGTAGTCTTGTTGTGGTTATCAATGGATTCGGTGGTCGTATTCACGGCTAGAGTCGACCCAATCGTGTGAATCGCTATCAATATAAGTGGCAAATAGTTTGCAAACATTGTTTCGCCGATTGTCTGGACGTAAATGAATGTAATGTTTGAATGTTTGTTCATTTTGTGCGATATTTTTGTGGTATTAAATGCTTTGTAAGTCTTGTATTGCCATCACATGTGTAGTCAAGTCGTGATCGACAGTCAATTCGTGACCAATGAATAGACATTTCATTGTCAGTCACAGTATTCTTGACAAATGTTTTATCAAAAAAAATTAGGGCAAAAACTAAACGTTTTGTATGTTTTTATTGTTTTAATGTTTATTTGACATTCAATATTAGTTTTATTTAATATAAATTAACATTATATATGAGTTGAATTACTCAACTATTGGTCACTATATTTATGACCAGTCAATGCAAAAAGTATTGCAACTTTAGAAATACATACCCTAAAATCTCATACACTAACCACGCATTCTGATAAAAGTAATTTACAACACTTCTTGCTAGTGTATTATTAGATGTATTGATGTTAGCGTATGTATTATTTAACAAATTAATAATCTACAAATTCATTTATAATTAATAAATAAAAGTGTAACATTTTAATAAAGGATAAAGATTAGTGTTAATGGATAAAATGCCAAAAAGTTTATATTAAATATTTTATCTGATTTTAATTTGCGAAATTAATTGTCATTGTGATCATATTTGAAATTGATATAAATGATGTACAGTAATTACGCTAATCAATATAAAAAATTTAGTAACTGTTACTAAATTTTTTAATTTTGATATAACTTTTACCCATTATGTCATATTTGGGAAATTCTTTTAGATTTAGATTCCGCTAATCCATACCTTTCCATTGATATATATGATATACTTATTCATAAAATACAAGATTAAATATCCAATTTTTTCCCGATAAAAGTGGTCACTGCGGCCAAACCCGAGGTCGTCTGGCCAAATAAATTATACCACCGTACTTCCTACAGAGTGTACTTATCATAATATTACTGATAGTTTAAATTAAAAATATTTTCAGTATAATGAATAGGTGTGGGTATATATGTGGGTTATTAGGGTACATTTTAAAATAAGTGTTGCATTCATTTGAATGATTGCTTGCAATACGTGATCATTACGTGTTTGACATTCAAAAAGACAACAATCATTCAAAAGTCAACTTTTGGACATCAATTGGTATGTATTTATTGTTTATTTATTTAATATTTTAATTATTAAAACATTTTATCTTATTTGCAGCAAAAGATGAATGAAAATGTGGCCAACGATGGAGTGAACGGCGCCGCCAATGCAGAGGAGTGGACGGGCGGACACGTGGACTACCGGATGGGAGACATCCGCGAGAATGGGATTCGTTGGCCGAGGATTGCAGTGAAAGATGTGTTCCCAAAGAGAGTCGCACTTCCATCCGATTTCCAGAAGACAGTCGCAGAGATTCGGGACAAATATTGGGCCCAATATGTGACACAAATTCAAAACAAAGAATGAAAAAATTCATTTAATTATTTAATTACTTTTAATTATTATTATAATTTGTAAATTATTGTAAATTACTTGTTTTTTAAACATATTTAAATTAATACAAAAATCATGTTAACATTTATATTTAAAATAATTTAATTTTTATTAATCTTAAATCTATTAATAATTACAATTTTAATTTCGTATTTATAACACTTTTTCAGTAAAAATTAGAAAATTTTTGGCAAAAAAATAAAACATTTAAAAATGAAATTTTAGTTATATTTTTTTAATGAAACATTTTTTATGATATGATTTGATAGCTGTTTGTGGAAAACGTTTTCATTTTAAACAAATATTACAATAAAGTTATAATCAAATGATTAATTAAAACAAATTAACATCTATTTTAAAATTAATTTCATATAATTATTAAATGTATAGCCGTTTACAAAATAATTAACAAAACAAAAAACAATTATTTAATTAATTTCATGTTTTAGAAAAATTAAAATATATTAAACTTCATATAAATTACAATATGTTTTGTTTTGTGTACAGAAAATCATTACAATTATAGAATGAAAATTAATTAAATTTAAATAACAAACTAATTATTTAATTAATTACACGTTTAAAGTGTTAATCATTTAAATCGATTGCAAAAAGTTTTTCAAAACAAATATTTCTTACAAAATAAAAATTCAATAAATTTCACCCAAAAAACGTCAACAATTCATAAATCAATACTAATTTTTCATAAATCTTCAGATCATTTATATATTTAGTTATAATTTAATTAATTGCTTATAATTTGGTGTTTAGAGCGAAAAATAA